CCTGCTGGCCTTGGTGACGCTGCTGTCCTTCGCCACCCGTTTCCACCGCCTGGCCGAGCCGCCGCACATCTGGTGAGTGATGGGAGGGACTCGGTGGCCACCATGGCAACCGCGAGGGGACGCCGCCCTCTGATTGGCCCGAGGGTACGGAGGAGGCGGGATCTACAGGAGGAGGGGCGGGGCCGTGGTGGAGGGGAACTTGAGGTACCGGGTGGGTTGGCCTCTGGCGAGGTGCATTCTCTGGGAGGGGGATCGTTTTGCTCTGGTAGTGGGGCAATGGGATTGTTAGGATCTGAGGAAGCAGCCCTCATGTCTTCCGCGTTATGTTACAGTGCATCACCTGGCTTGCAAATTGTGGCTTTTAAAGGTGCTTTCAACTTTCCAAAGAGAATTGCAAATTCTTGGGTACAGAATTTTCTAAGGCCTGAGTTCCGATATCTGCAGGATTTTCAGGCATCAACAGAGGGGAAAATACCTAACTGTGTACCTTTATCTTATAGGGCAAGGACAGTTTGGGTGTTCAGGTATGGTGACAAAAGGATTTTAAGAGGCAGAACTCTTCCTGTGAGAAGAGATTTATTTTCTTAAAGGTTTTAGCTTGTACTATCCAGATACTGGGTGTCAGAAATGGAACTCTTTTTTTCTTTTTTTTTTTTTTGAGACGGAGTCTCGCTCTGTCGCCCAGGCTGGAGTACAGTGGCGCGATCTCGGCTCACTGCAAGCTCTGCCTCCCGAGTTCATGCCATTCTCCTGCCTCAGCCTCCAGAGTAGCTGGGTCTACAGGCGCCCACCACCACGCCCGGCTAATTTTTTCTGTATTTTTAGTAGAGACGGGTTTCACTGTGTTAGCCAGGATGGTCTTAATCTCCTCGTGGTCTGCCCGCCTTGGCCTCCCAAAGTGCTGAGATTACAGGCGTGAGCCACCGCGCCTGGCCCAGAAATGGAGCTCTTTAAGCAAAAAGTAGGCAAGAAAACAGACTGTCAGGGTTGCTTTATTTAGAAATTAATAAATTAGCCTGTTATTGTGTCGTGACTGCTGGCAGAAGATGAGACTCCTGGGTTAGAGACAAAGGACCTTATTACGGGAAAGAGGATGCATGTTAGAAGCAGTTTCCCTTGCCATCCAAGTCCCACAGGGTGATGCTATGGGTTTAAATGGATGACTGCACAGGCAGTGGGTTGCATCCAAGTGAAGGAACGACAAGCTTGGAAAATCTGCTGTTTTATAGACGGCAGTACGCAGACCTCCTCTTTGTCCTGGAGGGAGACGCTGCCTCTTCTCTCAAGGTTGCTTGCTGCAAACACAACCCTGAGAAATGGCCCAAGTGCGATGCAGTCAGGGCCTTGCATTCTTGGTATACCCAGAATGATGTGTAGAGGCACGAGCAATCTGACAGCCTCTCTCGCTCCTCGATTCTGCAGTCTTGGCTTCTAGCAGATTTTCACATGAATATGCAACTCCCCTGGCTACTCTGATTAACCTGGCTGACAGAGGCAGGGACCAAATCTTTTCAGTTTGTCCCTTACAGCATTTAATTAAGGTTGTTGTCAATGGGACTCTAAGCAGCAGAATAAGGCCAGCTTACAGGATTTACCTCAACCATGCCCTCCAAAGTCCTGAATTCAGCCACATGTGAATAAGTCCTGGGGGCACCAAGGAATCTTATTTCAGACATCTGGTCTATTAACCACTGTGACCTGTGCACAGGAGTTCAGATTGATCTCTGATCTTTGTAATTACAGTAATTACAATAGCCCTCTACCCTTGTAAAAAAAAATTGTAAGAAAGTAACTACCAGGCCAGGCACCGTGGCTCACGCCTATAATCCTGGCACTTTGGGAGGCCGAGGTGGGCGGATCACCTGAGGTCAGGAGTTCAAGACCAACCTGGCCAGCATGGTGAAACCCCGTTTCAACTGAAAATACAAAACTTAGCCGGGCATGATGGCGGGTGCCTGTAATCCCAGCTACTCAGGAGGCTGAGGTGGGAGAATCACCTGAATCCGGGAGGCAGAAGTTGCAGTGAGCAACTTTGCATTCCAGCCTGGGCAACAAAGTGAGACTCCGTCTCAAAAAAAAAAAAAAAAAGTAACTACCATGATTAATGGAAAGATATTTTGTGACCCATTCTTCCTTACACTAACATATTACTTGAAGGAGTGCAGGCCACTCCAGGATTTTTGTTAGATTTTTATTTGGATCACCATCAAATTCGATTACCATTACAGTGGTTTAAACCACATGGGCAGTGTCACTGAATAGTTGCAGCCTCAATCACTAGACAAGGCATAACCTAAGGAGGGCCCCTAGGATCTCAGGAGAAGCATGTGATTTGTATCAGCCGGTTTGATAGAAGGTTGTGCTGATCTGTGTGTTTGCACACCTGTGAGGGAGGTCTGTGTTTGGGAGTTGGTGTTGATGTCATCAGGCACGTGGGAATAGTTCAAGACTGGCCATGTCCATGTGAGGTTTTGTTTTCTCTTTTTATTTTCTTTTTTCTTTTCTATACTGACCTACTAGATAAAGTTTTTTGTTTTCATAGTGAGATGACAAACTCAGCCACAGGTCGGATTGCCAGCCACAGTTGCTGCTTGACTTAGGTGGACCATATGAATGTTTGCCAGGCTTTGGTGCCTGGCAAACAAAGAGAACATTGTTTCCCTTCTCTTTACATCTCCAGGGGCCTAAGGTGTTCCTTCCCCAGATGCCAGGATTGTTTCTTTCCTTCCATTGCTACATAATTAGTGTGTCCTACCCTAGTACCTATAACTTCACCTTTTCTCCATTTATTCAATATCCAGACCTTTTAATACCCAAGGGCATTGTTAGAAAATTGACAGAGGCCCATTATGTCTTCTACCTTGACACATGTGGGCCACTGTAGGGGGACT